GGCCAGCCACAGCAAACAACGGCTAGACACACGGCTCGCCACAGCTAGCCACAGCTAGCTACGGCTGACCACAGCCAACCACAGGGAGCTACAGCTAGCTAGCCACAGCTAGCCACAGCTAGCCACAGCCAGCCAGGCAGCTAGCCACGGCTAGCTACAGCTAGCCACAGCCACAGCTAGCTGCAGCTAGCCACAGCTAGCTGCAGCCAGCCACAGCTAGCTGCACCTAGCCACAGCTAGCTGGGCGAGAAACGGGCTGGTAGACAATGATCCGCCTTTGACGCTGTGGGAGTTGCGGTGCCTTGTAAACCCTAAACCCTAAACCCTAAACCCTAAACCTTAAACCCTAGCCACTACAGTTCTCTCGAGATCCCCATGCAGTGCACCGCAGGCCCCACGCCACGCAGCACCTGCCTGCCCCGTGTCTCCCAGTGTTTAGGGTTTAGGGTTTAGGGTTTAGTGTTTAGGGTTTAGGGTTTAGAGTTTAGGCTCGCCGCCTCCCTTTCAAATATAGCCAAGAGATACAAAAATGGATTTATAAGTCTAAAGGCATCTATTCAAATTGACTTAATTTCTTCATTATCACAAATCTGCTGCTGTTGCTGCTGCATCTGCTGCATCTGCTGCAGCTGCTGCAGCTACTGCAGCATGGCCCTCTTGCTGCTGCTGCGCTGCGAGCCTTGCCAAACGTTTCTTTTCCTTTTTGCGTCTCTTTGCTGCTGCTTCCTCAGACTCTGCTACCTGTGACTCCTCTTCCTGCTGCTGCTGCTGCTGCTCCTGCTGCTGCTGCTCCTCCTCCTCCTGCTGCTGCCGGTGTTTTTTCTTTTTCTTTGTCTTCTTCGGTCGCACGTCGTCAGCCGCTGCATCTGCTGCTGCAGCATCTGCTGCTGCATCTGCTGCTGCATCCTCTTGTGCTGCTGCATCTGCAGCAGCTGCTGCTGCTGCTGCTGCCGGGTCCTCTGTGTCTTCAACTTCACTTTCTCTCTTTCGTCTTTTTCTTTTTTTGCTTTTTATTTGCTGCGGCCCTGCCTCTTCCTCTATGAGGCACTGCTGCTGCTGCTGCTGCTGCTGTTGCTGCTGCTTCTTGGCTTTCTTGCTGCTGGCGGCGCTAGTGTCTTCGTCGTCTGTTTCTTCTTGTGTCTCCTTCAAACGCAACAGCACCCCGAAACCCTAAACCCTGAACCCTACGCAGTAAACCCTAAACCCTAAGCCCTAAACCCTAAACCCTAATTAGCGTGTTCATAGGAGAAAAGAGGCACTGAGCTCTGCAGCAGCAGGCAGCAAAATGTACTTTGCGTTGCTGCTGCACCACTCCCCTTGCAGAGTATCTTGGCCTCCTGAATCTAGCAGCAGCAGCAGCAGCAGCAGCAGCAGCAGCAGGTTCTGCTG